AGAACATAATTTGATGTTTACAAATAAACACACATCTACAACAATGGCAGCTAGAGAAATTACACAAAGAGTCTGAAGAAATTTCCCCAGCAGCAAAACAACAAATTTATTTCTATGCATCATATTGAATAAATGTAGCAAAAGCCAGAGTAACTTTTAATAAGCTCTTCATAAACAGGGGATCATGATGCAGGCTATGCTTATAAAACACACAACACTCCTACTGCACTTGTTTTCAAAATCAGCATATTTATTTTCAGCACACTTCTGGAATATTCTGAGTGTTACGCCATACTAGTCAGCCCCTCATTATATGTAGTTTTGTTACAGATTACCTCAATTATATATTCCCCTGCTTCTTTTTACTTCATTAATTATACTTATTTCTCTTGTTTTTCACAATGTCTGCTGCTGAGTAGTAACATAGAATAAGTACTCGAGTTAACAAAACAGCATTGAGTATCTTTTATGTGTACCCTTCTACATAGGTTCTGTGAGGAAGAGCAAGTTCCTTCCTGCTTTTGAACTAGTGAAACTGTTAAGCTATTTTTGGCCAAATCATGTTGTTGTAGTTGTTTTTCTTCTCCTTTTGTTCATCCTTGGGTTCTCTCTAATTTCCATCTCTTGTGTTAGAATGGTCTTGCTCTCTATCTGATCAATGTTGAATCCACATTATAATTAGTGTTCAACTATTCAAAGCTCAGAATCTAGCAAAGTGCTAATCAGCCGTATTTCTAGGGTTCCACAGACTACTGCTTCTGATTTTATACAGCACTAATTCATTAAGAGGTCTTCTCTTCCAGTGCTTTCTTTGTAAAAATACCCATGACATCTGCTTGTTTGATGGGAATGTTTCCTGGTTAACGGTGTGATAGTGGGAGAAAAACGTGCACTGTCTATGGTGTGTTGGAGCTGGCTTTTAGTGGCTTCTTAGAACCAATTATTAGCATCTCTTTTCAAATCTGCATCTGTTGAGGTTCCATTGTTGCTTAAAATTGGTCACAGTGAGAATATTTATACCACAGAAAACGTTAAGTGCTACTCATCAATTCCTTTATTAAAATATAGTTGTTAAATATTACAGCCCACCACTGTTAGATTAAAACTATTTGCTTCTGTATGACTCCCTCTATTGTGCTATAATAAATGCCTCCTTGCCTACAGCCACTGCTGGCTTTACTGGATGATCCATTCAAATCTATTTTCATGTATGCAATAAGCAGGCTTTATAAACCATAAACTCAAACAAAATTTAAGGGACAAGACATGGGCCTTGGCTTTAAGTTGTTAAATTACTGCCAAGCAGTTTGTGAACATCTCATAACAGAACTGCACTGAATTGAATCTGATCATAGTGTTCACTTGTCCTGGCAATGTGATAAATATCCCTTCCTTCTATATTGCTTAAGAGAAAACAGTAGAGATATAGATTTTCAGAAATGTTTTGCCATCAATAAAGCATTACAAATTTCTGTCAATAAAAATGGCATTAAAAGGAACTGAAATGCAAATAGGGTTGCAAATGAGGAATATTAACTACCTTCAACTTTACCTAAAAAATTAGATTTCATAGAAATAAGTAACTTTATGCTAATGAAAAATTCTCAGCTAGAAGTTATTTAACCAAAAGACGTTGTGGGGGAAAATGTTGTTCTGCTTTTTTTGTTGTTGCTAAATGAAATGATTTTCCTGGTACACCCCACCCCAAACAACAAAATACTAAGATAGATATAGAATTAGAAAAAGCGCAACACTGAAAAAAATAGTCCCTTTTTATCTAGATGATATTGAACCACAGTATGTCTGGGCCTGAGATTTTTTAATATAACATAAATAAAATTAATGGACTAGATTAGTGACCCTAGGACATATTCCCATGGTGGGGAATGTGGTCCATATTGGGGAGGGAACAGTTGCATGTTAAAATCACCCAGAAGCTTTATCTTTGACTTAGAGATTTTGAAAAATCTCTGCCCATTCTGATGTTCAGCATTTTTATCTTAGTGAGTCACTGTTAGTTTTGGGAGCTTTACTTCTCAGGTGGAAGAGGGCTGGTGAAGAATCTGAGAATTGGTGAATCAGATGCTCTCCTATATTTGTTCTAGCTCTAATGCCCTATAACAAATGCTTTTAGAAGAAAATTAATTTCTTTTCATGGGCTGCTAGTCCCTCAGCAATTGTTACAAATCAATTCAGGAAGCAAGCAGCTATGCCATCTTTGAAAATAAATTACTGTGCAAGTAAAATCAGATAGCAGAAGTGAGTACAATTATTTGTTTAGAAATGCGTCTGAAGTTTAGATTTATCTCTTATTGGCATACAATTCCATCAATAAATTTCAAACCTATAAATTTTTTTTAAATACACATTTAACTTCCTATTTACATTTAAAAAGCATCATAAAACATAGGTTTCAGTATTAGAAGCATTTTGCCCCTGAGATACTGCACTAACTTATTTCCTGCTGCAGAATTCCCAGTGTTGCTATAACTGAATACTAAGAGAGTCTCTATTATAAAAACACTTTACCCTAGCTATTTTTAAAATAAAATGTGCTACATGAACATTAATGAAAAAAGGTGAATACAATGAACAACACAAAAAAGCTGACTTTTCAAACTTTTCTTTAGTAATTGCTTTTTCTTTCCAGCATAGTTTACTACACACACACAAATGCACACACACTGTGGTGCGCCAATAAAAATTTAACAATTGGCTCTGGGGGTGGGGAACAAAAATGCCCTGATTTGTAGGGTCTGCCGATTTTCATGTTGTAAATCCTCTGTGGCTGATTTCAAGCTGCCAACACACCAACAGTAAATGCATAGTTGGGAAGAGAAGTACGCAATTGGTTGTCATGAGCTGGTAGAGTCAGCACCAGCACATGACTGCCCTATAGCCTCTCCATCATGCATACAAATATATCATACAGAAATGTGTCCTGTAATGTGTAGTATACATATGATTTCTCACAAAAGAGAAAGTCATACTACATGACTCATAATTAAGTCATGAATATTTTTTCTAGATTTAATCCACAATCATTTTAAATATAAATGGGTTAAGCCAGTCAACTATAGTTTAGGGCATATGTATTACATAGACCATTTTTAATTGTTAAGGTAGTGGGAATGATTAAAAAGTGGCAGAGCCTTCTTACTTAGGTAGAGCCTAAGTTGCATATTTTAGAATTAATCATTAACAATCAGGACTGCAAAAAAATAATGAATATGTATTTCCCAAAATGAATGAATCGAACACCTGAAAGTTGCAAACCTTTATGTGAAGCATGAAAGAAAGCCAATAGCAAGAATTTATATACTTCATGCTTGGCCTGTTTATCCTCATGGAGATTAATAGAGTGAATAAATATGTATAATAATGGTGTAAGAACTGCTGAATAGTATACTGTATTACAGTTACATGATCTTATCTCGAATTCTGTATTTGGAATAGTATCAAGAAATATGGTGAGGGAGAAACTGAGTGGCAATTTTCAAATTAATAAATATTTATTGAGCTACTACTGTGCAAGCCTCAGTACCCAGGCACTACATGGGACACAGAGATAAATGCATACACTCTTCTCAATGAAATTACAATCAATAAGAGATTATACGGCAAGAAGTCAACTGTTCAACATACAGGGACTAGTAGGACCTATAAAAAGGAAAGATTCTAATCTTTGGGAAGATGTAAAAAGTCTTTTGGGATAAGGTGATATGAAAAGGAAACTTGAACTGAAGATGGATCGAATAGGTTCTACTAAAATTTGTCCAGGCTCAGCCTAACATGCTAGGTCACCCATGGCTAAATTCTGGTATTTCTGCTGCTTAATGAGTATAAAACAATATGTTCTGGTCATTACAGGGATTCTTAAAACAAAGCACTGTCCTGCCTTAACAGCTGTCATCTTGAGGCTTTTGGATTCTGTCTTTGAGTTTTTTAATGAGCAACAGCCCAAACATGCAGATTAGTCAGAAGCAGCTTTCATGGACTGTGTCAATCTGTATTCTAGGGTGAATGAGTAAGGAGGGCAGCATGGAAAACAACTCCAATGATTCCCTTAACCCTCTTTGAGGAAAGGAAAGACTTGGGATAAAACTGAGTATATTTTCAAGTCTACTGGTGAGAAAAACATGTCATAACTGAATTGCATCTGTTTGGGTATCATAGTGGTTTGGGGTATAAATTAGTTATTCAAAGAGTAGTATCAATATGAATAATTGATTAATTATTTCATCCTACAACTTTTTTTCCTAAAATAATTTAGGAAAACAACACCCTAATCAGTCTTTCTCAAAACTAGGCCTTTGTAGCCCACATTTTAGGTAGCGTGAACTGAACGTAGTTTTTTCTTAAAGCAGGAAATAAACCATAACATTTGCTAAATTATAGTGAGAGCATTGGCCTTAGGAAAAAATATATTAGCATTAATAAGTAAATCATCTCAAGTGATATTAAAGCACATTACTAGGATCGGTAAAAAATACATATGCACAATTTTACGTTAGATTCTGTAGCTAGCAAACGACAGATTTTCCAAGCTGACTTTAACTGGAGCCCATCTTGGTAGATGTTTCATTGTCGCACTGACCTTGAGAAGAGTTCAAACACTAAGAATGAATGAGGGAAGAGGTTGGGGCTGAAAGGATTCCTGACCTCTACATTGACTTGATGGTCAAAAGGGCATTATGGCTCTGAATTTTGATGAGGAGCATTTACCCTTTAACTAGCCCATGTTAACGTTTTCTTCACGATTCATTACTGTCTTAAAATAATTTATGAAAAAGTTTTCATGTTGGATCATTACAATCAGAATAATCAGAATGAATGCCACACTTAATATCAAAAGAAATAAACCTAAAATCATTATAAGGAAACAGCTGTGTGATATTTGTCTATCTGCTCTTTAAGCAATGCTATTTGTTGCTACCCTACACAAAGGCCAAGAAATTATACAAGTACTAGTTTATTGGTTATTCACAGAGACTGAGTACCTGAAGGAGAAGGCTGTCCTTTTACTACACCATTTTTAGTCTTTTCTTCCGAGTTCATTACTTCCTTGTAGATAAGTTCTGTAAGAAATAGTTATCTGTGTTATTATAGAAAACAAATTTCTCCTTAATCCACAGGGAAATTCATTAGTAAATGGGAAATAGTAACATTTTGATGGGGTTGAGTAAATTAAAAATCAATTGAGATTTTAATTTCCATATTCCCTTATAATTCAGAGAGCCTGGAACAAATAGGTATCTAAATACAGCAGCTGAATAAATAAATGTAAAAATTTTATTTCTACATACATGAAACATACTATTTATTTCTACATACATATTTATTCATACATACATTTCTACATAAATAACATTTATTTCTACATATATGAAACATTTCTACATACATGAAAAATTAATACATGTTTTACTTGTTTTATGAATTATTTGGGGGTACTACTAGTATATTCTAGCTTCATCTAGTAACAATTTTTATGGTGTTAGTTTCGAATATCGATTTTTCTTTTATACTCACTGCCTGTGAGACTGTCATGACTTTAAATTATTACCAGTCCTTACAACTTCCATCTCTTACTGCATCTTTTTTTCCACACTCATATCTTGAATTTGTAAATCTAAACTTGCCAAAAACCAAACGCATTAAAAAATTTAGTTCATTTACTCTCAGACTTGCATCCATATTTGGCTTTCTGAATGCTAAAGTTAAATTGGGTAGCTTCAGTTCTTTTTACTTTGTCCCCTTTAGCTAAAGATCACTCAGCCTTACTAGTTCTTGCTTTGCAGTGGCTTATAATCTGTATAATTATCATTCTTTACAGGTACTTCTTTCTCCGATTTCTCACAATTTAGTCCATGTACTCCCCAAATGGTGGTAATATCCTACCACCTACCTATTCATGAGCCCCTAAGGAGTGCCTTCCTGTCCCTTCTTAGATCAAAGCAAGCTTTCTTCATCTATATCCAGCATCTTTTTTCACATGATCCACTTTTTATATATGTTCATTTTTCCATATTAACCAACATGATCCTGGACCAGTAGAATCTCTTTGGCATCTTTAAAAATTTTATTTATTTTTTATTTTACTTTATTTTATATATATATATATATATATATATATATATATATATAAAATATACATTATATATATGTATATATATATATAGAGAGAGAGAGAGAGAAAGAGAGAGAGAAAGAGAAAGAGAGAGAGAGAAGGAAAGAGAGAGAGAGAGAGAGACTTTCTCTGTCACCTAGGCTGGAGTTCAATGGTACAATCATGGCTCACTGCAGCCTCCACTTCCTGGACTCAAGTTATCCCCCCACCTCAGCCTCCTGAGTAGCTGGGACCACAGTTGCGTACCACTACGTCCAGCTAATTTTTGTATGTTTTTGATGGAGACAGGGTCTCACTATGTTTCCCAGGTTGATCCTGAACTCCTGGGCTCAAGCGATCCTCCTGTCTCAGCCTCCCAGACTGCTGGGAGTATAGGCATGAGCCATCACACGTCTTCCTCTTTAATATCTTTACAACATTTTCTGCTTATTCCTATCCTTTGTTTTACTCTTAGTCCTTTATCTGGTATTTTCTTAATTTTTTTTCTATTCCGAATTACACTTACTAATTCCTTCAAGGTAGCTCAAAAGTTCCTTTCCTTCAGCTCGTCCCATTTTGATCTGATCATTTGTTACAATTTGCATTTGACTTTCTCATCTTTATTCTATTCTGTAGTGATTTAGATTAGTTTAACAATTCTTTTTAGGTCGATTGTTTTCCTGCTTTGTTTTATTCTGAGTATAATCTTAAAGATGCAGTATGTGTTTGGAAAAGTTTTGTTGCAAAATCAATTAATGCATTTGTTCATTCTAATTTTTATGTTAAAGAAAAAATAAGCTACTCAGATATGTATATTTTCTATTTAAATTCTCAAGTCCTATCAATTCAATGAGTAAATTCATATATTAACTATCTTTTATTTTCTAAACTCTAAGCCAATCTCAGAATTAATTTTAGTTTCATGTGTCAAATGATGATTTTATATACAAACATAGAAAACTTTTTCTGGAATTCTGAACTAAAGCTTGCCCCCACCATGACAAAACTGACAATCAGTACCATTTTAAAAGGTACCAATGCTAAATTCCTTTCATTCTTGAGCAAATACAACATTGCTTTTAGCATAAAAAGACAGATGAAGTTTTAGGAATTTAAAAATGGCCTAAGAGAATAGCAGTCAGCAAATCATCTTTTAGTACATTGTTTTACAAGGAGAAGCCTTGACGATACTTTCTGAGTCCAATAAAGCAAAAAGTATGCTTTTTGAGTTACCTTTCCATTCTTCAATTGTATGTTCTCTTTCATCCAACTGCTTGTCATATATCTGAGGTGGAGGCTGCCAAATAAAAACAAACAATAATCTTTGTGTAATAACCTAAACATAAAGTCTTAGAATACATGAGAACAACTTGCAACTCATTTATTTTATTAGAATCGTATATAAATTATGAGGTAATTACAGTAGTTCAGAAGTTAAACTTTTCCCATAAACTTATGGAGGACTTATTCCTATGGCAATATTTGCCGCTGACCCAATATTGCTGCAATATTTGCAGCAGAACCTAAATGCTGATAGCTCACTTTTTGACATCTTCTGATTTAGAACCCATGCCTAGGCAACTAATGGCTGGTCTTTTAAGAAGCAGACAGAACACTTGATTTCAATGGCCCAGAAGCTACTTTTCCTTTATTCACTTGCCCTATCATAGAGCCATGCTAAAATTCTTCTAGACTAATATGATTTTGTTCTATTTTTAGACCTTTTCTGAAGAAAAGTTTATATTTCTCAACAGACCATAGCATTAGTCTTCAATATAAAGAAATATTGAGACCAGATCAACCTTTTTATTTTCATGAAAAATCATAGAATATCTTTGTATATTGCTATGTGTCCCATACCTAAACAATTTAAAGCTTTTTTCCCCTTTTTCCTGAAGAAGCTGCCAAAGGTGGGTCACCTTGAACCCCTGAGTGGCCCTTGGTTAAGTCCTCTCTAGTATAAATGATGCGATAGGGCCTTCAGTCTGACTTATAGAGCCAGGATTTCTCTTCCCATGTGGAGTTCAAACATGGAAAAGGAGGGATTTTTCACAAACCTACATGCCTACCGGGAAGTAGAATCTCAGATAAACTCTCTGACCTCTTCTTCCTGATATTTAGACTTTGGGAGATCTATCATCATGACTAGAGTAGCTCCAGTTCAGGCCAAGTGACATGGAAAGGGAAAAAAAAAAAAAAAAGCTCTTGGAAAAATAAATCACCACGAGGTAGAGAAACAAGGCTGAGGAACTACATTGGCTGGCACATTGAGTGCAGAAAAGAGCTATCAAATTTCTGGTATCATGACACTAAAATCTGTTCCTGTCCAATACTCCGAAAGCAATTGTTTTTGTGAAAAACTAAGAGTCACTTGAATAAGAGTGATGCAAGTCCATTAGGATGCAGACCTTTCGAAAATGGCTATTGTGACAGCTCTAGACAAGATTTTCAGAGACAGCTTCCAGCTTCTGTGAGAACTTTTTGGCTCATGAACAGCACCCTCAGGCTAAAGTGACCCTTCTCTAATTCATGCAGAATCTGTGGTAGCTTGAAGAGTGGCAGACACAAATATTCATCTTAGCTCTGGCATGCTAGGGCAGCCTCACATCCTGCAGAAGTATATTCCCATGAAAATAGAAGACTTTGCCCAGCTATGGTGAAGTAACTTAGCATAATACTGAAGTACTGAGAAATAACTACTCATGGAGCCAGATATTCTTTTAGCACCTTTGACTGATACTGGGGCAGAAGGCTGTAAAACCACCTACTGCAATTCACATGTGGCTGGCTGAGCAGCTCTCAGCAGCCCTCAGCACTGACAACTAAGCAAAGTGAGACTCTCACAGCACCCCAGACAGTAGTGAAAACACAATAAATACATTGACCCTATAAAGGTGACAGGAATGGGATGGTTAAGCACTGCTCTCAGGACCTGACTGGTAGAACCAGGTAGAACTTTCCACCTCTGTAAAGGACTCTCAAATTATAGAAACATTCTAACTTGGTGAGTGAATGAGTAAAATGAAGTTATTTTTGAAAAACTGTGAAACTGTTACCTAAAGAAACTACCACAAAGCCAAACTCTGGTTTTGTAAAGATGCTTTGCCAAGTGGTAAATTTCCAGCATTACCTCTTCCTGAGCATGTGTAATGCTGTGGTTAGGCCCCCATCCAAGTGCCCTTGTCCAGGACCCCCACAGGATACAGTGTACATAAGCCCTGAGAGCCTCCAGAGCTCTGTGAGCTGCTGGCACCTCATTCTTCTTCTAACAACAGATCCGGCTCATGATCCTGTGTGGCTGGCTTCTCCATGCAGTGGATTTTTCCATCCAAGTTTTAAAATTTAACATAGCTCAAGAATACAGTTCCTGCCAAAGTTCATAAAGGCCATTTTCTTTTGGAAACAAAGCTATTTTGAGGAGGTTTCCCTTGGACCATCAGTGTACAGCTGTTGCTGATATATAAAGTACAAAGTATATAGACTCTAATCACAAACAAACTACAAGAGAAAAAGTAAAGTGCTGAGTCCAAGATTTTTCCTTTCAACAAACCAAGAGGGCTGCTTTAAACACACTGGAATTTACAGTATTTGTTCGAGGGCCTCTGCAAATCTACTACATATTCAGATTTTTGTTTGTTTGTTTTTGAAGAAGAAATGCAAATGTCACCTCCAATAAAAGGGCACATTCACATACAGATGTCTTCTATGTGATAATATAAAAGAATAATTGACCAATAATCCAAAGAGAGCAGATGCAACACGTATAAGTGCTTGGCAGCCATCATCAGGACGAGATAGTCAGCAACATTCCCTGCCTCCTGCTAAAGAGAAGTTGGTGTTTGAGCACTTACTTGTTCTATTTCCCTTCCTTATTTAATTGGAATTATTCTATTTTGCTAAGTGACAATCTAATTAAAAATAAATGAGGAGTGGGGATAAAGAGAAACGCCCCAGAGATGTCTGTTGAGAGTGTTTTAGGGGAATTTCGCAGATAAGACTAATTTGAGATGTGTGAAATTAAAGATAGGAGGAAATTAAGGATAGTATATGGAGAGTTATCAAGGCTTGTGACTTTCACCCTTTGAATATTTTTCTTTCTTTTTTTAGACAGAGTTTCGTTCTTGTTACCCAGGCTGGAGTGCAGTGACGCGATCTTGGCTCACCGCAACCTCTGCCTCCTGGGTTCAGGCAATTCTCCTGCCTCAGCCTCCTCAGTAGCTGGGATTACAGGCACGCGACACCATGCCCAGCTAATTTTTTGTATTTTTAGTAGAGATGGAGTTTCACCATGTTGACCAGGATGGTCTTGATCCCTTGACCTCGTGATCCACCCGCCTCAGCCTCCCAAAGTGCACCCGGCTTGAATATTTTTCAAAAGACTGTAAACGTTTTTTATATTATTTTGGAAGATTTGAACTTTACTTCCTTAATTGAAATTACTGTAGAAACTGAAACACAAATTCATATAGATTACATAAACAGTAACTTAAAATGGATTAGACATATTTTTTAATGATGGTTAATTTTATATGAATTTATATTGATGGTCAATTATATAAATTTTATACTGATAAGACATGTCTGAATTATTTCAATTAAATGAGAAAAAACACAAACAAGTACATGGTCACTGTGAATTAGTAAATACTAAAATTTATTTATTTAATTTATTCATTCAATAAAGGTTTTGGGCACCTATCATGTGGCAGACTTATTAAAAAACTGAGATTTTAACACTGAATAATGTGACTACTGACCTCAAGGAGTTCACAATTTACTTGAGTAAGGCTGATTCAAAACATATCATTAGTATACGGTAAATGATAGAAACATGTATATGATATAAGGGAGCAGAATGGATAAGTCCTAACAAAGCCTGGCTTTGATTTCCTGGGCTAAGTGATGCTTATTCAGTGAGCAAAAGATGTGTGGGAGGTTTTCAAGATCAACGAAGGAGGAAAAAATGTGACTCCATGCCAAGAGCAAATTATAAGCCAAGTCACAATATGTAGAAAACAGAACGGGGTGGTGGTGGTGGTGGTGGTAGTGGTGGTGATGCATGTGTTTCTCTGTGTGTACACGCACACAGAGAGTAAAAGAAGGATTTTTTTTCACAGTAAAATAAAACATGTGGTCAGAAGTGACAAGATAGAAAAGCTGTTCCTAGAGAAACAAATGGACCAGGAAAGGATGGACCAAGGATCATCCATGGTATCATGATATGGAAGAAATACTTTTTCCTAAAGAATAGGAGAAGCCACTGAAGAATGTAAGAGAATGGCATTGCCAAATTTACAGCTGGATTGAAGAACGATGCAACTGTAAGCAGAGAGAAGAGGTAGGGAGCCATTGCATGACCTAAAAAAAAACACTAAAAGTTCTGACTGGGGTTTAAAAAAAGGTGAGGGTGAATGAAAGATACAGATTCAGGAATAATTAATAAATATTAATAAATAAGCTTGCTAGAATTTGGTTTTTGATTGAACATATGTGGTGAGAGAGAAAAATATGAGTTCCTAATCTCTCAGTTGAGTTGCTGGAAAGATGATCATGTGGTGAAGCCATCTAAAGAAATAGAGAATAGAAAAGGGGAAATGAGGTTGGAAGAGAGGTGAGCCTAAGTGTTGTATCAGTAGAGATGTTGATTTGAAAGTTAAGTATATAATCTGAAGTTCAGAGCAATGCTGTTGTCTAGGAATACATAGATTTGAGACTACCAGCCAGAGATGTTTGTTGAAACTATGAGAGTGGATGAGGTAACCCAGGGAAGATATGTGGGTATAGAGAGTAAATGGCCAAAGCGGACCCCTGTCTGACATCAAGGTTTAAAGATTGGACAGAGAAATATAAGTTTACTAAGGGAAAAAGAGACAGTTAGACAAATACATGAAAAATGAGATTGCTATGTTATAGAAGTCAAGCAGGTAGAATTTCACAAAAAGGAGGTAATTGGTTGTTTCTTGTAAATGAAGCACATGAAGATTTTGGCTCTCAGAGCACCAGAAAGGCATGATAGAAAGCATGCTGCTGAACCCTTTGAAAACTTTCTAAACCTTAAATTGCTATTACCCCCAGAAAGACCCAGATCGATCTTCGGTGGAGGACATTAATATGAGACATACCTAAGCAATTGTAAAAATGTAGAAAAAGATCCTCAACACCAAATAACTAAAAGAAAGAAACTATAGAATAATTGTGACACTAGAAAAAGTATAATGATCTCAGATCTACTCTCCCAAGTCTCTTTGAGAACTATACATATATGCCCTAATAATCCTCAAAGTCAGGAAACTAAGA